CTAATTAATTTCTACATACATACGTGCATTGCATACATATTGCCACACGCACATCCGCCCCCGGCGAGCGGTTCCAAGCTGCAGCCTTCCCAGGTCCCCGCTCTCACAGGCCCAGCGGATCTCCGAGGCGAAGAAGTAGTCCAAGATCTTCTTGGGCTCGCAGGCCACCATGGAGCCCTCGTATTCCACCTCAAGAATTGCCCTCCGAGGCCGCTTGTTGCGGGAAACTTTCTTTATGGTTGGGTGGGATCAGCTTTCGGCGGACCGTTGCTTCTAGGACCTTGGCGAAAGGAACCACTTTACGATCGGATTCGGGATGGGGTTCAAATGGGCTTAGATCGTTTCGCTGGCTCAGGCTGGGCATATAGGACGTGTCAACACCCCCCCCTGGTTTCCCCACCCCCAGTCTCCGAGTGCCAGCAAGGACGCCCTTTTGGGGGCTCACCATTTTAGAAGGGGAACACCAAAGGGAGACAAGGTGCCACCGAACTCCACATTGCCACTGAACGTGTCGCAGGAAGCGACAATTCGGGCTTCACTGCCATTTCCAAACCCTCTTCTCCGGAAACTTGTGCCATGCAAACAGAAACAAACACGCACCCCGAAACAAACACGCACCCCAACAAGGTAACAAACGATTGCAACGTGTGGAGATTTGGGAATCCATGTTAGTTGACAGCCAAGACGATGCTAAAGAGTCCAAATTTGGTGTTCAAGAGCAAGAATTGGTGCTGTAGCAAACCAGGCGCAACACGGATTTTCAGGCAACCCTGACAGGGTGCCGAGCCATCATCCTGGACGTTGATAGGAGGCAACAGCAGTCCTTGCAGTGCGACCAGGGCAAAAAATAGACAATTTTCCCGCAAATGAGCGTGGCGGTGCCCCAAATTCAGGGGCAATTCTAGCATCCACTGCCAAGTTAAACAAAAACACTCACCCGTGCCCCAGTCTGTTTCACACTCTCATTCCCTGGGTGCCGGCCGAATTTGTAGAAGGAAACATCCCAAACCGCGCTGAGCGTGTGAATCGTCCCAAACCGCTTGCAGGGCCCGCTTTTGTGATGCAATGTCCCGCATGTCGCTCATGTTGTGTTCCGCTTCGCCGGTCGCCAACCGGAAAGTTGCCATCGCCCCGATTTCCCCAAAACGCGGGCAAGGGCAAGGGAGGGGCGTCGAGATGCGGCTGACCCCTGACCCCTTCGAATTCGGTCCTGTCAAGGGATCTGTGGTCACCTTGCCTTCCTGATGTCTCTGGATACCAGCGATGATGTCTTGCTGCTGCGCCTTAAGCGCCGAACCACTTGCCCTTTGACGACGCGTGGCTCCAAGCGTGCCATGCTTGCGGCAATACTTCTGCTCTCAAATTTCCAAAGTGGGCGATTTCAGGACTCCATATTGGAGTTGTCATGCGCAGTCATGCGAAAAAGTTGGCTGTTTCTTCTCTAGTTCCAGGCCAAATCCACTTGAAGAGGGAGGAGATGTCCAACCCCACATGATGTGCGAATTTTGAGTGCCGACTCAATCCCGTCCAGGCCTCAGTACGAAGGTTGTACCAAAGCAGCGCGACAGCTCCACCTCCAAAAGGGGCGCTGTTGGACCGATGATTTTGGAAACAACCATAACACAAACCCCTGTACTGTAACCCTGTTGCTAGAACTGTCCTTTTTAGAATGCGGGGGGGTCCGAAGGGAAATGGACCATGAAGTTACTGACCATGCATTTCCCTAGAAAGGCTTCAAGGGGACAGCAAGGCGGATGATTTCACATCAATTAGATGTTCAGCTCCACTTGTGCAATCTGCTTCACCCAAGCCTTTTGTGCAGAACCGGGTTGGCCCGGGCATTCAACTCCATCCAAATGGCCCTCATTCCCAAGGGCGAATGAAGGGTTAACAAGTTCGGCCCGAAGGAAGTCAGTGGAGGAAATCTTCGTTCATTTGGCGCCTGCAAAAGCCTACATGCCCACTGGCACTAGAAAACGCGAAGCCTTTTGGGGTTTACGGGGAATCACTCACCCAAATCCTCCCCCGCCTAGGCCAGCCAAGCCGGGCACCACGGACAAAGAGCCTCTGATGATCCACTGTACTGCCTCGTTCTGCTCAGGCAGGTCAGGGTTGTAGTTGAAGTAGCCTCTCTCTCGCTCAGATGGTGCCCTCACTACCCCCCAAACCACTACCCGCACCAAATCGAGCATGCACCCCTTATGTAGCTGCAAAACATGGTTAGATATGTATATATCTCATTTTTTGCTCGGGGATAGTGATTTGAGGGTGGTGTATACCATCTTACCCGCTCTCCCGAATCGAGGATTGTTAAGCAGTGTCTCTAAGATGTTTTCCAGTATATAACCCCCAAACTACCCCTATAAGGAACAATGAGGATATGTGGCCAAAATGTAAGGAGTATATACCCAACTTGCCACTGGGGATAGTGTAATTTGTGGTGGGATTGATGTTATGTCTCTCTCTCTCCCTCTCGCATCCGTTGCTGTGAACCATAGATATTCGTAGTCAACACCAGGCTCCTCTTTGTGAGTTGCAAGGCAACCTGCCACAAAGACACTCCGAAAACGGGGTATTGACACATCAGCTGATGGGTGGATTGTAAGACCTACCAGGCTGAATGAGGCATAGCCTCCTTCCACTATCTTCATTCCCCCAAATCTTCCTCGAGATATCCAGCTCAAACATAGCAAAGCACACGTTAACCCATGAGCTTGGCAAAATGTGGAAAACAATCATCTTGCACCCGCAGCGCTCGCAGGTGGCAATATTTGCACATGCCTTAGTACGGATGGCAATGGCAATGAACACATGCATTTACGCGTACCTCCCTTACAACTTGGGCATATCTGTACGTTTATATATGTGCCCATTTGTTCATACCAACACCAGTCTAGGTTCATCAAAGACATCCACCCACGCACCGACTAAATGGTGGTTCAAGTTCGAAGGAAAATCACGTTCAATCAAATTCCATTTTTTCAGAGACTAAAATCATCGTATCATTGGCCCAACTCTGGCATGCAAAATGCTATTTTTGTGCTGGAGCACGAAGAAAACTAAAGGTCAAAAAATAAGTTTGGTCTGGAAATGTAATCATAGAATCTTTGGAACCTCCTTTTGGCTGCCCTTTAAACGGTTTGTTCAAACAAAAGGGTCAGGACGAAAAACACGGATCCCTTTGTAGTGGGTCCCGGACCTTTGCCAAACAGCAACCTAGTTCTGGGGGCGTTCGACTTCTTTTTCTTCGAGCCAGAAGGCCAAATTATTCGGGCCCAACATAGATAAAACTTGTGTGGGTACGTGGATATTTTAACCTCATTGGTTGTATGGTCCCAGGATGGCCTTTGGTTCAGCGAAGAGTGGCCCTTTGCTGCAGGGATGTCCAGGCCCTTTGGTTTTTCGTCCCACTCTGGAGGACCAACAGTGGACAACCCAAATGATGCTTGTAAACTTGGTTGCTGTTGACCCGCATTTGCATTCAACAACTTCCGACGCTTTTTGCGGGTCCGATTCCGAAAATCCGACCTGCTTCGAAAAAACAAAAAAATGATGTCCAAAAAATCCGCGCCCAAATCGCCATAAGGAGATCAAAGGCAGGGTGGGGCAAAATGTTGTTTAAACACCAGCTTCACAAGAAATCTTGGTCATAACCAGTGGTTTAAACATGTGTAAACCAATGGGTAGCCCCACCCTAGAAGAAACCTTCGGACCTGGGCGAACCGGTGCCGAATGGCGCCGAGGGGCTCATGAGCAAAAAGGGCACCGCGTCCGCCGGGATCTCGCAGATCTTGGGCACCAGCTCCCGGGCCATGGTGAACTGACCCTATGGATCAGGGGGGCCGAATGGAGAAACGCGGGGTGAAGGGAACCGAAAGACCCGCTGCAAAACATGGGGTATCATGGGGCTGTTGTGAAAGAAAGGGCCACCCCAAAAAGTGGCAAAAATGTGAGGTTGTGAACAAAACCAAGGTGTTTGAACCAGGTCCGCACCTGATGAAATTAGTTAAGCAAGGTTAACCCACGGTTCAAAGGGCCTCTCTTTGCTCTTTAAAGAGTTTTGCTCAACATCCTCCTTTTGCTTCCGCGTAAAACAGACGTGCAACAACCACCAGCTTCACAAGGATTTGCATCCTCTACACCAGCTGGAAAACGTGATGCGTTAACCAGCTGGCTTCCTCTAAGTGACCCTGAAAAAGAAAGCCTTTCCGGATCTTTCCCCATTCAGCATCACAAAATAAAACTTTACGTAAAACCTGACATCGCACCTATCGTTTGGCTCACCCCGTCATTGGGCCCGACGTTTGGCCCGAGGAGTAGAGCCGCGCTTGGCACCCAGGCTGCGCCTCCCGGCGCTCCCCGGTGAGCAGCTCGTCGTAGTCCACCGCGTCAGAGGTGAGGTCCTGAAGCTCCCATCCAATGGCTACGTGTCAGCGTTTTCGTGGTCCATGTCTTCAGCCAAAGGGTCTCAAAAAACACCCCCAAATGGTTTGCTACGTTATTTTGTTTTTGGGAATGGGGGCCGTCTGACGCTTTTTTCGGGTCCTGGTACCTTTTGACCCGTGATGGGTGGTTTGGGGGGGGGGGAAGCATTCAAAAAGAAAAGCCTTTGGAACCCCCACACAGCTTTTCAAATGCATGACAAATATCTTGCCCGTCCAAGGGATTGAACAGGGAATCCCTTGGCACAGAACTCAGCCTGCAGTTTGCTGAATTTTACCGCCCCACGAGTCTTCCCCTACAAAACCAACCCAAAAAACAAACGAGTCTTCCCCTACAAAACGAACCCAAAAGAACAAAAAGGCCTACAAAACCAACCCAAAAACAAAAACAAAAAGGGGCGGTTTGGGGATCTCTCGAAATCCTAACCTTTTCCGCACAGTACGAACTTTGTTCGCACAGTACGAACTTTGTTTATGCTCATAGTGAGTTCCATTCTGCTCAAAACGTCTCTTTTCTGCTCATAACAAGAACCCTGGACATTTCTATCGGCAGTTAGCCCAAGCCCCCGATTTTGAGCTGCATTGGCTTGCGTCCAGACAAGCCCTGTGTCTGAACAACCCCCTTTTCCACCACAGCACACGCACCGCTTGAAACTTTGCCCCTGCCCCTTGGCCTCGTCGGGCTTCCTTTCGAACAAATAAACCACATGGGGCTGTTTAGCATCCCGTTGCCGCCGAACAAAGATTATATAGCCACCTTCTGCCATTTGTTTGATTGAAATGTTGCAATATCGTAATATGTTGCGATGGTTCCCAACTGCAATCAAGGGCTCCCCAAAGAAACTGCTAGCATCTCCCACCATGGGTACGCTCATTTACCATCAAGCAGCTAGTTATAGTTTGCCCAGGTGCGTTTTTGTATTCGGCACTCTCACCCTTAGCCAAAGCGCGAAGAGCAGCCAGTGCCCCGCATACGCGACGCCCCACACCGCACAGGTGATGAGGCCAAGTAAAGCGCTGCCTTTGCCAATAGAGAGAAACACAAACATGTAGCAGCCGTAGACCTCAGGTCGGGCTGCAACTAGCGCAATGCGCGGCGCGCCTCCATCCAACTTCCCTCTGAAATGTGTTGCAACTGTAATTGAGTTGGGCCAGGCTGTAACATGCTGTAACTGCGATGGTAGGTTACGCAATTCTTCAAACTATTGCTAAGGATTGTGTGTGTGTTGCTAACTGAAATATGCCAGTAAGTCACGTATACAACTAAATTCTTCCGTCCCAAGCCAGCCGGTAGACACCTCTCGCCGTATTCCCTGTGGTCTTTCGTGAGTCTACCAGCTTCCTCCTGAACCAAAGTCGAAGCGCAAAACCACCCGACACAAAATGATGGCAGTTTCATTCCACGGGTGCCGTTAAGGACAAAACCACCCTCCTTGACGGGCTATGAGACCAGTCGGCATCCAGGTCCAAAAGCTGAGAGGCCACATTGTAGGCCATGAAGGTCCAGTACTTGCCCCACTTCTTGGCCGCCTTCTGCCACAAAAAAGTGACAGGCACTCGCACGATCATGTGCACCACCACGCAGCCCGCGAAGAGCGTACCAGCCGAGCCCACCAAGGCTTCGGCAGCCTCACAGCTAGCAAAACGAGGTCGCCTGAGGCTCGATGGAACTCCTCGCACTTGTCTTTTTATGGAGAACATGTGTCCAACATGGTTGGCGCGCATAAAAAAAAAAAAAAAACGTGAACATGATGTCCGACGGAAAGGTGACCATGTGTTGGTCGGATGTACGAAGGGTTGGGGAAAAAGGGTTGACGTCTCCAGCTTGGCGCAAAGCAGGCCAGCAATAGAAGCAATAGATGAAAAGCTTGGCTTCAGGGAAATGAGACTTTACATACCCGCGCTTTGGAAAGAGAACACGTTATTTTGGCAACAGTGTTGAACAAATAACAATGGACTTTGTTGTCTGGTCGCAACCGTTCCAAAACGGTCGAAGCCATTTGAGTGAAAACTTTCAGCCTGTTCTTGACTATTTGCTTGTTTCGCATTGGCGTTGCGTTTAGCTGCGTTCAAATTGCGGTCGGAAAGTGGGCGACTTCGATAAGAGTGGGCGACTTCGACAAGAGTGGGCGACTTCGATACACATTGGCATACGCTATGGTATCAATACATGATGACTTCCAAACACTCGCAAACTCAAGCAAACCTTGATCTTTGATGAAATTGCCAGTTCATCATTTGTGCCATCCATGTGAACCTAAGAGCAGCGTGACCGAAAACCTACCATCATTGGGTACACATGGGAATGTGAACAGGCGAACAGGCGAACAGGCGAACAAAAGAACAAACGCTACTCTCTTGGTTGCTGGGAAAGTGAACGTTTCTGGTTCGTGTCGCCCCCTGAAAACCCGACCAACCCCCGCACGTTGCGAAAGCCGAGTCGCAGCTTTTCCCACGACCCAGTCGACCACGTAGGGCAGGACCAGCAGAGGCATGTTGGCGCCCAAGCCCTGCGAACCAAGCCGCTTGCTCAAGGACCTACTAAAACCTGTGGAATAATGATGAATGTAAGTACCAAGGGCAGGCACACAAATATCATAAATGGTGAAGAACAAACAACACATACAAAGGACAAACACACACACACAGAGATCGCCCAAAGTTGTGAAGGGACAAAGACTTGAATAAGGCCAGTCCGCTTGAAGGATCGATAGGCAGCGTAACTGTCCCAACCATTTCAGGGAGCCATCAAGGCAGATGGGGAGCCCGGGGCCAGGGTGGGGACGGGGGACGGGGACACCACTCCGGCTATTTCCCGCGTACCCGAACATCTCAAATGGTTGATACCGAAACCTTAGTTTTCTTCTAACTGAACAGGAGTCAAGGCACGGTCAACAAAATGACACCCAATGTCCAAAGCATGCCCTCATCTTGAGCTCACTTTGAATTGGCAAGCAGCTGCCTGAAGTCTCTCAACATGGAAATGTTGAGACCATAAGGGGGGGTCCTAGAATCTTAGAATCGGGCCTGCTTTTCGGCTTTGTAAGAGGGAAACCAAAAGCAAAGCTCAGCGGTCTCGGAGTCTAAGGGGCCCTGGGCTTAAAGCCTTCAAAGGGGAAGTTGTAGAAAGCCTGCACGCAAACATGTCCGTCCTCTGATTTTTGGGCTGGGAGCAGCAAAAGAAGTTACATAGCTTGCGTGTGGCTCATATTTTCGGACGCACGCGTTAAAGGGGCCAGTAGGATGCCGGGAAGTGCGGCCGACCTTCAAATTGACGGATCCAATTATTGCTTCGGTGTTAAGCTTGAAAAGCCTCCACGCCCATGACATGGTGCAAGGTCTGCAGAGTGGTTTGAGGCCCAGCGCGGGCCTCCACGACGTCGGAGACCAGCAGGACTTTGAAGGGGTAGTTGCTGAGGCAGCCCACCTTGCGCGAAAGGTAAGGTTTGGACCTAATTCTTTCTCTTGATTTCATGCCATGGATGCATTTGGTGGGTCCCCCATCTTTAAAGGGATTCGATTGAAACACGGGTTCCCTGAGCAAAGGGATGCCTCTTGGGGTGCCGGGTTGAGCCGAGTCACGAGGGAGGGCACCAGTGCCTCCGCCTCTTTTGGCAGGTTGGCCACGGGACGCTCCTTGATGTCCCGGCAGAGGAACAACGTGGACAGGCTGAAGAAAAAGCCAAAGACCACCACGATCATGAGGTACGAATAGCCTCTCCAGGTGAGATTTTTCTCTTATCCCTTCGGTTTCCGGCAAAGACAGTTGAACTTGGCAACAAGCGATCCTCGTGAGCCGAACTCTACTTGGCAAAGGTTACAGAAAGTGCCATTTGTGCCCGCGAATTAATCTGGTGAATTTATAAATAACAACCTGAAACTCAAGGACCCCCTTCAGGACCTTTGTGGTGCTGCTCGTTCTGCCCTTCTCTCGGAGAGCCCTCCATCCAAGCAGCATCCGGTCTCTGGACTCGAGGCGCACTCGGACTCCCCGATGATTGGCAGCACCATGCCCCCCAAGATGCCAAGGCAGAGACAGATCTCGCGCCAGGACCACAACTGCAGCGAGCCGGATGATGGGGTTCCCAAATCAAATCCATAGGAGGGAACCTTCCCCAGTCGCATAGTCGCACGGGCCCAAAAGCAGGGAGGAGGTGCGCAAAAAGGGGCATCTTCAGTGTCCCATGCCCATTTTCCACATCACTCAAATTTGAGACTGAACACCCTTTGGCGGGGGGAGGAGCCCAGCGGACGTCATAGGTGTCCTTCTAAGTCTGGTTCAAAATACATCCACCGGGTTCAGTTTGGTTCAAGCCACGGTCCGGTGCCATTGTTCTAAAACCCTTGGGTTTGTAAGTCAAACAAATACATACAAAACCAGCTTGATCCTGAATGTCCAACAAAACAGCCATCTTGAAGGTTGGAACGCTCTTCGCCAGGGCGCCACGGTCTTTTCCTGGCTATCAGGCGTCAGCTCGGTGAGCAGTGCGCCATGGGGGATGTCGAAGAGGGCGTCCTCAGCGCTGCATACCCACCCTGAATCAGCGCTGCCCACCCACCGCCCCCCCACCCCCTGACTTGTCATGTTCCATTTGCTCAGGAAAACCGTGAGAATCGCAAACAAAGGCCCTGAAGGGATGTGCCCACCCCCAAGCCAGAATGCGATAAAATGCAAAGCATCAGGCAACAGGGCCTTGAAGATCCATTTGCCACTGAGTGGGGAACTTGCATCGTCTTCCGAAAGGCTGAAGCTATACCAGTCCACAACAATACTCACCTGCCCAAAGGACCCAGAAATAAAAGGTTAACCTTTTGGCACCTCAACTAAAAATGGACCAAAACAGGAAAACCAAAAGGTCAAAAGGTCGGCTTTGGGCAACTGAGAATATCATAGGATTCTGATGCTAATGCGCTGGCCCCATCGGCTCACCTGCAGCGTGCCTCGGGCCACGAGTTTTGTTTTGCCAAAAAAGGCCAAAAACCGGAGAGAAAAAAGAGAGAGATAAAAAAACGGCGGAAACTATCTTGGAACCCTATATTTGGGAAAGCATCCGAGACCACCTTCACCATGATGTGGAACACGCCATACCAAGTGGCGGCTCCCACCTGCGAAGCTCAAGCAGAAGGATGGGATTTCCTGGTATCCACCAGGCACCCAGAGCTCTGCAAAAGCCTTACGAAAAGCCGGCTTCCCAGGCTGTTCAATCCGCAATCCGAAGGGGAACGCCACTACAAGAAGGGAAGTCACGGCCATCTGAAATTCATGGGCTGGCGCTCTGGCTGAAATCCGGCCAGCCACTCCAAATGGCATGTGGGGCTCAAGGTCATCTAAGAATCGCTGTTCATAGGTTTCTTTTGGGGTGGGCCTCTATGAGTCAGTGGCCGTTATGGGTGAGCTCCTTTTTCCCGAAGAAGTGTCGGTACAATTTGCTCGAACGCTGCATCTACGGCCAGCCTGCTTAAAACATTGTCCATGAAAAGGGGTCCGCCACCAAGCACTTGGGAGAGCACCTACTGTATCGCCAGACATGATGGCTCTACAAGGGTCAGCGCATGTCAGCGCATGAAGGAGCCCTAAACAGCAGCATGCTGGCTGAGACACCCACATGGACAAAGAATCGGACAGGAACGCGTCCTAAGGCCCTTGTCAATTGCTGGCCTGATGTTCGTTAATGCAAAGACTCACTGGAACATCCAACCAATGGATGCTCCCTCCTCTTTCGAGTTCAATGTTCGCGGGGGGGGGGGGTGGAAGGCAACCCACAAAGCACAGATATGACATGAACATCCGCATCATTCAAGGGTTCATCTGCCCCTCGTACATCTGTGCTTCGTATTTTGGGTTTCGGGTATAGTCCCTTCGGGTCCGGTGAAATCAGGGCGCCAAGCCACAGGTGGGGCCCTCCATTCAAGGAACACTCTGAGATGTCGGGTTGAGCCCATAAAGTATGTTGTCCGTGTCCCAGTTTCCGAATATCCCACAAAGGGAACTTGCACCCGAACGAGCACCCTAAAGCCAAGACCCCGAAGCCTCCCCACTCTGGGGGCGGTAGGGCCTGACTTTATTGTGCCCAGGCGCCGAGTTGAAAATCGGCACATCCGTGGAACCGGGGTTGGAGGACGACCACGCCTGGCAGAAAGAAAATCCGGAGGCAATGAATAGATATGTGTATACATATACATAAATATCCATAGACATATATATATATATATATCAACGAATGAAAGTATTCATGTGGTGTTTATGTACGTGTGCATATGTGGTCTCATTCATGCGCACACACACACACACCTCAACTTGCATATGTATCTGAATAAATGAGCGTGCATGCATACATATATATATATATATATGTACCAGTCCCTGGGCCACGTACCCCCCCCCCCAATGGTATGGTCCCCCACTCCCCCGCATCATCCGCATCTTGGGGATGATGCTGGCAATGCTGGGGATGCTGTCCAGTACCGTGCGAGCCCTGCAGCTTCGGTCCCAGACATCCTACCCTAAACCAAACCACCCTGCAACCCCTCCAAAACCCCAACCCTAAGCCTAAATCAACCCAAACCCCAAACCCACCCGAAACCCACCGCAAACCAACCCTGAACCAACCCTGAACCAACCCTAAACCAACCCACCAAGCCTAAACCAACTCCGAACCACACCCCAACCACCCAACCACCCAACCACCCAACCACCCCACCACCACCACCCCACCACCCCACCACCCCACCACCCCACCACCCCACCACCCCACCACCCCACCACCCCACCACCCCACCACCCACCCCCACCCCCACACCACCACCACCCCACCACCACCACTTGGGGGGGGGGGGGGGGGGGGTCCACGGCCTGGAACATATATATATATATATATATGTATCTTGTGCATGCATCCAAGCAACAAACAATAACATGACATAACATGACGACAGTCTCGTTTTGACTCTGGGATGTGACAACTGGACTGACGCCTGCTGTGAAATGACGGCAATCTTCTCTTCCTATCCGTGTCTATGATTGTTGAAGGGAGGGTCGCAAAAGCAGTCACGCTGTGCGCACTGTTTTGACATGTTTTGAGCTAGCAAAGCTTGGAGCTAGAGCTCTCTAGGCTGATACCTGACTTGGAACTCACCATGCCATTTGCTCAGCGACTTCGGAAAACAAAAAACAGAGCTTTTGCATTTCAAGTGGGGAACGCAGAGTTTTAGAGCAAACTAGGGAGTAGCATGCAAACACAGGGGCATCCTCAAGTTTGGCTGGTTACGCTCCCAAAGGTTGACATGACGCCACGTTAAACATTCCTCTGCAAGTCGGTCCGTCGCGCAAAATAAAGACCCTTCTCCCGGACTTGGCGGGAAGGACACCCCTCCCCAATAAATCAGAGCCATCAGCACACACGGATCTAGAACACCATTCACCCGCATGGGCGGATGATGTTCATCTCTGGGAACAAGAATGTGCAGCTTTGCCTGCATGTGCCTTTGTTAGCCATTCAATGGGAGTCGAAATTCCAATCAACACTGGAACAGCGCCCAAAATCGACTGGTGCCAAATGCAGGCCGACCGGCGGTCGACCCACTTTGAGTTTCCTCCTGGATTGAAATTTACTCTTCCTCTCACACATGTAGGTGCCTGGAAGATCAAAGATCGACTTCCTGTTCAAGGGACCCCTGTTTGGTGCCATGCTTGTGGAGGCGGGAGGGAGGGAGGGAGGGAGGGAGGCAGGAAAGGAGGGAGGGTAATTACTAGCGGGCTTTTCCACCCACAGTCACCTGTGCTTCAAACGGGTGCCTCAAAGTCTGCTTGCGCTTGAGAGGATAGCGATGCTGGTGGTGCAAACGCCAGCGCATAGGAGAGGCTCATCACCAAGGTGCAGACGAACAAAAAGGGCCGCCTGTCCAGAAAATATGTGACTGACATCGAAGAAGCATGCTACTTCACTAGGCTATATAATTACACGCAGTGTTCTCTAATGCTGATGCTCAGGACTTCATTGGTGCTGACGGCCCCCCACAAACAAATTATAATGCTGCAGCATCAAATTTGATCTTGTGGCTGACGTCTTGCACCCATAGCCAAGAGAATAGCCATGGCCCAACTATCTACAACCACCTTCAAGACAGCATGCTTCAGCTAGCCTATCTGGTCACGCACACCATACTTGGCTTGCTCTTCGTTTCTGCACAATATGGCACACTCTATTGGGATTTTATCCTCCACCTCCGACTGAAGTCATGGGGGCCGCTGGCCATACATTGCTTGCCTTTCACCCAAGGAGAACAGGGGAAATGTGATCCCTTCCTTTTACAATGATTCAGGGATGAGGCCGGCTTGGGGTAGGCTTGTTGCCAGCTGACAATAAGCCTGAACAAAAAAGTTGTGCCCGGGTGTGCGGGCAAAATGCCTCAGACAAATTGCAATCTCCAGTGCCATGGCTGAGAAGGACACCGGCGAACAACCTTGTCCATTCTCTTGTGGCTTTGTCGGGGGAATCAACCCACATCTCTTTGCTTGGTCGTGCAGAGTCATGACAATTGACAGATTCTGCGACGCCCCGGCCACCAAGTTCAGTTCCTCTGGCTAGAAGTCAACCCTGGCTTGTCCCAATGAATCACACCCGCAAGGGGTCCCAAACAGTGCGAAGTGGAGCGTGAAGGTGCTCAAGAGGACCTATACAGAAGTCAGTCCTCTACAAGATCTGGTTGCAAGAGACTATACAAGATCCATGGTGAGTTGTGTGCAAGCTCGTTTGCTGAATAATCATCTACAACGCGTCTCAGAGACGATCCAATATGAATGGTCTTGGAGTTAAAAACTCGCACCACGCCACTTCAAGAGAGAAACAGTCGAACGCCTCAAATTCGATGTCAGAGATTTGGGCTGCGCTGCGGCGAGAGCCTTCTGACTTAGATCACATAGAGTTAGCTTTGATGTTACGGCCTTCGAATGGCACCACTGCGAGTGCGCACCCGCGTGGCGCATGCGTTTCTGCAAGTCTGCCCAGTCAATATGCACTTGCGCGAGTTTGAAGACGGCTTCCGTGCGAGCCGACTCCCTCAATCTATCTCATTCTAACCCTTCTTACTCTTGCCATATGAACTCCTTAGTGCAACGCGAAAGCAGTTCAAACCTTGGGGCTCACGTGCACCAAAAGGTCCCAAGCCGGATTTGCCTTTTATCCTGCTGGGCCGGTCCAAACGGGTCGTTTACGGATGGGTGAAGCCGTCGCCCTCATGCCCTCCAACCCGCCCGCCTCCTTCCCCAATCCTCACGGGAAAGCCAATGATCATGGAATGAAATTGGAACTTCTACTGAGCAGGAAAAGTGGGCGCCTCGTAGAATAGGGGACCTCTAACCATGATTGGTTTCATTGAGCTTTCCCCGTGTCATCCCAAAAACCGCTGCCAAACAGAGGGCCCAAAGCAAAGAACAACACCACTTGTTCCGGTTTGATCCTTCTTGACACTATAGAGATCCTCGAACTGTTGGCTGTTTGCCTTGCACCTTTCCCTTTGGGGCAAACAAAACCATGTCTTTTCTCTTGTGCCTGCTTCTTTGCTTCTTTGTCTGCTTCTTCTTCTAGCTATTTTTTGGGGTGGGGGAGCTTGGGTGGAGGGGGGAGAAAATAACATGTCTTTCAGGTTGCATCCCGGCGGCCCGGCCAAAGATCTTGCGGGTGCCATCCGTGAGGGTGGCCACCAAGGGATCGAAGAGCAGGTCCAAAAGCGTGCTCAAGATCAGAAAGGTGGACATCACGCTTAGGGAGGCGCGCGGATAGTCGTCCGTGAAGAACCTCAACCGCTTGGTTTCGGGCTTCCCCGGAGGGATGCCCAACATCGGCCAGGCAGGGAACCTTGTCCATAATTGAGAAGTGTGGGTTCTTCCTCAAGTCATCCTCTCGGCCCAAGTGCAAATTCAACCTGCTCGTGGCGCCAATGTGGTAGGTTTGTCATTCTGCTCGCCTGCCTGCCTGCATGGCTCTGTGTATGCATGTCTATACTCCGTGTGGTTGTGTCTGTCTGTATATGTCAATGCTTCATACGGCAGTGCGCATGCACAGCGCGAGCAGAAACCGTTGATAGAAGGCCGAGGCACTTCTTCATGTAGCCAATCTTTACCTTGGCATGGTTTCAGTCCCTGCCAACATGCGGGGATGCAGTTTTTGGGCACAGAATCTGGGCAAGCCCTCTTTCAAAAGAAGCCCATTTTCACATGTGGTGACCCATGTTCACATGTGGTGAGATGACATGTCTATAATCATGTTTGGGTCCTGCCTGAAGGCGGCACAACAATGACACCTTTGACTCCCCAGAGCAAATTCTGTACAACCATGACTGCATAGTGGATGAACACTTGCCTGACTAAGAAACGCGGAACACCCATACTCCATATGCCAAGTCGCTTGCCCTCCCCAATTGAACACCAGCTTCCAATTGCTGAAGGTGCCAGAGCCATAGGCCACTTGCATTATGGGGATCTAGCTTGCCACGGGTTCAGGACAACAGCCTTGAAAAACAAGGCATGTTCAAGAGCGATCAAGAAACACGGATCAGCAATTCTGTTGACCTCTGGAGGTTTGGCAGCTAAACCGCGAGGAGATACCGGCCAACTGAGCCTTGCAAAAAGTCAAGCGGGCCCGCTCAGGAGTGTTCCACCTCATATGTGAGGCCGAGTGAATGGAGAGGCTAGCAAAATAAAGATCTATCTATCCTCTGTTGGTTCCTTTGGGGGAGTTTGCACACACATGGGATTTTAGAGGAACATGGTCGTCCAGGACCCCTCAGCCAAGTTCCACAGCAGGATAGCTGTTCATCTCTGTGGACCTGTTCATCTCGTAATTCGTGCCGGGGCGCGTAGCGCAACGCAAGGCAGCCAAGCGTAGGCAGTGCGGCTACGAACTTGGTGCGGGCACTCAGGCGGCCGAAATAGGGCTGGCCGTCACGCTGCCCAAATTGCGCCATGGGATAGCTGTCCTGACACATCCGACCCACCTCACCCAAAAGCTTCAAGGGTTACCGGCAAGTTACCGGCCCGAACGCGAGGCATCGGAGCCCAACTGGCCGTTCAGCAACAAAAAGCCAATCGCTCCGGGCTGGTTGCCACGAAACAAAAGCGACCTTTCGGCTGTGTCTGTTTTCGAAGAGTGCCTTTAGTTGAGTCGTGCTCAAAGAAAGCCATTTGGGCATCACCCATTTCGGGGATCCTTCACTCAGAGACAAAACCCATATCTTGAAAAACATCTTCAGGACCTGCATGTTCATCACCATTCCCAGCCTGAAAGAAGGTGTCCGCGCCCATTTTGCTGACTTTCCTGAGTGCATGCCGAAGGAACTTGGGGAGGAGAATCCCATGCTTGCCCAAACTCATCCAAAAGGAATCTCTTGCGCTGGGCCCCAAGAGTTGAACCCCATTGCAAGCACTTTGCCCATTTCAAGATGCGAACCGAGCGTCCCATCTGCCATGTCACCTGGCTCTTGCGCTTTTGTCTGTGTCCCCTGTGAGGGCTTGAGCCAAAGGTGCTTGCGGAACATAGGGCTAGCTGATGGACCTGTGGGGTGTCTGTCCATCCTTGAGTAAGCACAGTAAGCCCGAATAAAGCTCGGGGTGGCTTAGACCCTGGCACAAGAGTGGAAAATTCGGCCCTTTGTCCAGGGCACCACTTTTCTACTCGTGGGTTCATCTTCTTGGGGTCAGCTCGAAGCAACTCCGAAGCTTGGAATACAGCAGGCCATGGAGCCCTCAGATCTTGCACGGCTAGCGTTGCCCAAGGGGTCAAGCCTGTGCCCTCGGCACCTGCCATTTAACCTATCCATTAAATTGCACTGACCAAAACATGCCAAAAAACAAGGTACCGTCACCAGCGCAACGAGGTCGTGTCACAGAAGCAGCAGTAGTGGCAACATATTTTCCGATAGCAACACTTCTGCAAGTTGGGCAGCTTGCTCGCAGCTTTGCTTCAGAATCGGGCAGCCAGTGACACATGGTTTTCGTCAAATTGGTTCAGGGAAAGTAAAAGCCATGTGCCGCTTCGTCTGCACCTTTTGGGGCGTATTGGGAATCCAGAACCAAAACCCATCGCTTTTTCCCCGCGTTGATATTAGTCTTTCCTGTCCCAAACTGTCAAAACGCTTGGATTTGTCACGCTTACTATGGACGTCTGGAAGCGTCATTTCCACGTTTGTCCCCATCACTCCAAACGGAAACTCGCAAGTTGGCGCGACAAGCTACATTTGAGAGCCACCAACTGCAAAAACCCATGGGGGCCTTCTGAACTTGAAAAAGGCACACTTTTGGGCTGTGATTGGGAAATCAAAAGGACATCCCACCAATCCAAAGACCCCATGTGACTTGGGTTTCCGGCCAGCTGCAGAGCCAAAAAACAAAGGAAGAAGAGAACGTAGCCACGGCCGCACTCAAAGTGGCTGGAGATGTCCTTGGCCTGACGAGTGACCCAGCACGAAGTGTGACCCCAACGGTAAAAACGCAAAATTGGGCCCACGTTTTTCCATTTTGAGTGGCCGCATTCGCAGAAAATCCATGGGGCCCATGGCCCCAAATGGCGTTCCCGGAGGGAGGTGGCTCCGGAAGGTGGCCCTGTCGAAATCCGACTATGGACTTCACAGGGAGAATGCAGGGATGCGGAGAACCCACGTTAGGGTATCCAGGAGCAACCGCGTTGGACATGGATGTGGATTTTGGTATGTGTTGCGAAGCCGGAAACATATTTGAACCGTGGCTATCCCGATGTTCAAACGCGCTAGTCATGATAATACCTCACCAAGGAGTCTAGCGTCACAGGTTTACAAATGCACCCGCTTTTACTTTCCCCGACTTCCCGTGCGTTTCTGTTTGGTGGGTACCAAGATGTTGGTTCTTCCCACGCGTGCAAAAAACAACAGCAATCAAAGCCCAGACAAATGTTGGCTACCCTGGATATGTCGACCACCCTCTTCATACATCTGCGTGCGTGTAACGGCACCCTTTCCATTGGCTCTAAAGGAGGATACCCACCATTTAGGGGGCTTGCGCCAGGTACTTGCGGGGGGGCAAACCGCTGCCCATGTCATGGACCTCCATAGGGAGACAAGTCAAGGATAAGCCAAGGACAAGCCCCAAATCAGGTGGACCTCCCCATCGAAAAATGTTTCAGGTCCCTATTGCCACAAGCACCCAAACAGCCATTCCATAGCCCTTCCCCAGCTTGCCCTGGGAGGCCCATACCCCAGGGGCAAAACCAAACCTTGACGAATCCCTGGGCCTCACGGCCAACTAACAGACTAAAATTACATTGTTCAATTGGGCAGTTTGTTTTGCTTGTGGGACCGTCCTCCAATAAATCATGGACCAGCAATGTTGTCTGCAGCTTGCATTTGACCCCAAGCTTGCAAAGTTTTAAGAGGTCCCCATTGTAGTACTGAATGGATCTAAGACTCGCACAAACATCCAAAACCGAGCAGCCAACGCAAATTGCAAACAGAAACATCTCTCCATGCCACATGCCTGCAAACGCACATGTGTTGTCTGCGTGATGAGATACCAAAGGTCCGTCAAACCTTCAAGTAGCTCGCGGCACAGGGCCAGCGCATGTGTTCATGGTGCCCAGGGTTGTACCCCAATTCACTGAACCATGCCCCCTTGGTATATTGTGCGAGCTACTGGAGCCATGTGGGTACACAACTTGAAGCATTTGAAGCCTTTGAAGCCCTGAAGCACGTTGCAACCAGCCCGAAATTGGGGAACCTCGGGCTTCGCGTTCGGGGGTCCCGAACCCTCTCGAGGTGTAGCCATCCAAACGGCAAAACGCCCTCGAGCGAGATCTTGAAAATCCATGTAGAAACATGGGCTGGGGAACTGTTCTATCCTAGTGGCAAAAAACAAGAGGCATTGCACCTTGTGTTTCGGCCACCCTCTGCCCAGTTTCTGCACCATGGGTCTCAGCCTCAAAACTGGCAACATTCAATCCAGGCCTCCATCCACATGTCGCAGAAGACCTGAAGCAAACAACAGCATGCAGCACTGTTGCGTCTTTCACACATAATTGGAAATCCAACATGACCTTAACGGGCGAGCCAGCTTTGCGCTCAAATGAGTGCAAGGGAAGTACGTGCAAATGCTGCTTGTCAGCAAGAAAGATACCGTAACATCCCCTCGGTTGCAAGCTGGTGGGCCCAAGCCGCAAGTGCAATGTGTGTCTCCAAACGGGGAGCCCCAAATGGGTGGCTTTTTTGGATTCCCTGAACCCCCCAACCCAATTTGTTCCAATGCCAGGGTCAAATGGATGCACGTCTGATCCCTGTTGGGTCGCCAATGCAAAGTGTGTTTCCTACCTGACTCAATGACATAAAGACAATGTCGTTTTGGTACATGCAGCCTGGGGCTTATGTAAGATGAACTTCTGAGGCAGCAATTACGCAGTCACTTCGCTGTTTCTCAAAGGGAATCTTGCTGAATTTCTGACGTTGCAATATAAGCCTGCTTCCAGCTCATTTTGCCGGCTGCAATGCATGGTACATCTCAGGCTCTGTTCATGTCCGCAAGGCACCAAACCCGAGACAGGACGTGCTGTAGGTTTCTTCGGTTTGCCACACCATTAACAGGATTCCGCCTGGGCACATGTCATCCAATCAGAATCTTCGACTCGCGTCATGTTGCTGGGCCTTGCTCAAATATTGAAGCACATTTACCAGGCCAGTGATTTATTTTGAATTCACGCCCGGGGGGGGTCCCGGTGTCTGTTTTTGTTGAAATCACGCCTGGGGGTCCCAGTGCTTGTGTTTGTTGCACTCATGCCTGTGGGCCCGGGTGTTTTCTTTTGAATTCACGCCTTGGGGCTCTGGGGTGTGATTTTTTTGAAATCACACCCAGGCGTGATGTAAAAAAAAAACACACACTAGGAAACCCAGGGGTTATTTCCAATGCAAAAGCACCCGGGACCACAGGCGTGAATTCAACAAAAAAAAGCTGAGCCCCAAGGCGTGAATTCAAAAAAACAAAACACCGCGACCCCCCAGGCGTGATATTATAAAAAATAAAAAAATAAAACATAAATATGTACATATATACAAACAACAGAATTCCTGGGCGTGATTTCAAAAAAAAACAACAACACCGGTACCCCCCAGGCGTGATCTCAACAAACACAGACGCCGCGCCCCCCCCCCCTCCCAGTTGTGAATTCAACATAAAACACCGGGACCCCCAGATGTGATTTCAAAGTTTGTGGTTCCAAAAAGAAAAGGACTGGAGCCGGCAGGATTTCAAAAAATAACACGACCCCCCAGGCGCGATGAGAAAACCAGGCCGGGATCGAGGTGTTTTCTTCGGCATCAACAGTCGCTCACTCACGTGCTTGCTCGCCTCACTCATCTGTGAAAAAACGTCAAAATGAGAATGCAAAATAAGGAATTTCAAATAAACATGGCTGGTGTAAATTCAAAAAAAACAGCGGTTCCTCATGTTTCGCCCCCTGTTCATTGTCAGATGTGTTTTCCCATTCAAAAGAACGCGTCTGACCCAGCAAACAGCCGCGCGTGTGTGGTCAGGCCGAGCCACGCGCACCGAGGAAAACGCTAGGATTGCTGTGAAGATGGACAGCGTGGTGCTGATGATCGTCCAGGCATAAAGCCGGATGTCGTCATCCCGCCAGTTCCTCAGCCCGAATCGCAGCAAGTGGCCTGAGTTCCCCCTTCTGGGACCAAATCGAGCGAGGGTCCCTGAGTTGAAAGCCCAAACTTAGCGACCTCAAGCTGCTTCCTGTCTCCCAATCGGCGCCAACTGAACAGGGACTCCGAATTGGCGCCACTGCAGAGTCAGGCATGCCGGATGAATCGGCCATGCGGGTTTGTCAAGGGTGAGGGAATCCCGCAGCTAACTTTCCTGAGCCTTGCTGACATGTAGACAGAAGGGAGAACGGAACCATGCATGAAATCCTAGCCGCTACCCCCAAACCCTGTGAACCAAGCCCGGTTGCACACCATGCCAACAAACTTTGGCCACGATGAAGCCCTGAGCAGACCCCGCCAAACGTCTGGCACACAATGTCCTTGAGCCCAAGGTGGTGAGGAAACACGCCTCCATACATTACCATCCTTGCAACCTCAAAGCGAAAGGTAGCGAAAGTGTATGGGGAATGCCTTTTTCTTGGGTGCACCAGTCCCCTTCCATGTATTACTTTGGGGGCTGGCCAGTCACTCATCAAATATCACACTTTGCCCTTAAAGCCGCACAAAACGGCTCAAATGGACATTGCCGGTATGTGTCAAGTGGGGACGCCTCCCAAAGTAAGCGGGGTTGCGTTGTTTTCAATATGGCACCCTCAACAACTCACACCCAAATGGCAACCAGGAAAACTCAAGGCATGGTCCCTGCGTGAGATGGAAGCTTGAAACTCAGGGCCAAAGCTCTGTTACCAACCCCGGCGCGTGAAACGCCGTCAGTGCTGAACTCAGATGTGCGCAAAAGAGATGCTTTCCCAACATTGCCGGCTTTTGAGGCGTCGATGTGATCTTCAAGGGCCATAAGTG